TTATTATTATTCAAATTCTGATATTTTTGTTATCATTTATCATTTATATATGTAATATGATAGAAACATAAGTAATTTATTTATAATAATTAAAAATTTTGTATATTTTTGTTATCATTTATCATTTATATATGTAATATGATAGAAACATAGTAATTTATTTATAATAATTAAAAAATTTTGTATATTTTTGTTATCATTTATCATTTATAGGTATGATTTATATCATGATAAAAATCATACTTTGGCTGGTTATACATCTGCAAATGGAATGTGTAATGAGAGAAAAAGTTGCACAATAAGTGAAGGCCTTGATTTTAGCGCTGTTTTCATAGTTGCACATGAAATAGGCCATAAGTTTGTTTGTATTTTTTTTTTTAACAAATATTATCATAAATATTATCATTCATTTTAGTTGACAAAGAGTGACCCTTAAGAGTTTTATCGAGGACGTTAAAAATTATTATTATTATTATTACCCATTCTTAAAATCTTCTTTCTTAAAAATGACGTAATTACGTGAAACATTTAAATTATTGTATTAAAATTTCGTTAAACTTTGAGGAAAGGTTTTAATTAAAAATTTAATTAAAAATTAAACTTTTTTAATCAAAAATTATATCATAGCATGAACTTTTAATTTAATTAATTATCAACAAAATAAACTTAATGGAACCAATTAATTTTGATATTTTTTACAAAAAGATAATTTGAAAGTTGAAAAAATAATAAAATTTTAGCACTAAATCAATTGGATTAATTATAAATGCAAATACTACAGTATTCAAGTACCATCCTTCCTGCTAAATTGGTTATATTCTCGTTGTTCCATCCACCCGGGCAAATTATTCTTTTCTCATTGTTCCATTTTCCCGGGTAAATTAGTCTTTTCTCATTGTTCCATTTTCCCGAGTAAATTAGTCTTTTCTGGTTGTTCCATTTTCCCGAGTAAATTAGTCTTTTCTGGTTGTTTCAATTTTTCAGGTAAATTAGTCATATTCTCGTTGTTCCATCTTCCAAGGTAAATTGGTTTTACTCTTGTTGTATCAGTTTCTCGAATAAATTGATCACATTGTTATTGTTCCAGCTTCCCATGTAAATTAGTCTTTCCTGATTGTTCCACCTTCCCAAGTAACTTCATCCTTTCTGGTCATTTCAACTTTCCGGGTAAATTGGTCACATTCTCATTATTTCATCTTCCCGACAAAATTACTCTTTTTTTCTTTCTTCATCTTCCGGATAGATTAATCTTATCGTTTTTTTATGGGTAGAAAAAAACAAATATTACTCTAATGTATTTTGAAATATAAAATGATAAATAACGTTAGAATTTAAAAATTTATGACTTAAAAATTAATTTAAAATTAAAATAAAATGAATTTAAATTTATTTTTAAATTTGTTTTGAAATAACATTCTTTTTTCAGCTTAGGCATGAAACATGATGGTGAAAATGGCTGCAATGAATCATGCTGTATAATGTCCACTTCAATTGGTACTGGACGAACATCTTGGTCATCATGCAGTGTTCAAGAGTTAAATTATTTTATCGCTGTAAGGATTAAATGCATCAATTGTTTAATTGTACATTCAAATTCAAATTCGAATTTAAATTTAAAGTCATACTCAAATATTTTAATTAAAAATGATTGATTTATTTTAGACATGGTGGAAACACTCATTTCACTTAAATTATTCCATCGTTCATTTTTTATTTTCATATTAATTCATTTTAATTCATTTCAATTTGCTCTTTTATCTATATATTTTAGTCAAAGAAAGAAAAAAAAACGGAAAATTTTTCAGGTCTTTTGAAACTTTTTTATTTGCTCAAATTTACTTAATTAGATTTCATCTTTAATGGAATCCGGAAAATTTTTCCAAAATTATATAATATTCCATTTTGCAGCAATTGGATAGAAATGATACAATTGAAAATTGTTTACGGATAACCGATATTAGATATAAACGGATACCGAAAATTTTAGCCGGTCAAATGTATACATTAGATGAACAATGTGTACAGTTTCATGGAATATGCTGGAAACATGAAATTAAACATGGAAAACATATCAGTGTAATGAAATTTTTTGATTTTCTTTCAAAATTTTTACTGACTAATAAAAGAAAAGACAAAAATCCATTTTTGGGTATGAGAGAATTCATTTCAGGAAGTGAAAGAATCATTTTAAGGATTCATTTGAGGAGAAGAATGAATTATTTTAAGAATTTATTTGAGGAAAAGAAAGAATCATTTTAAGGATTCATTTGTGATGACGAAAGAATCATTTTAAGGATTCATTTGAGGAAACGAAAGAATCATTTTAAGGATTTATTTGAGGGAAAGAGAGAATTATTTTAGGAATTAATTTCAAAAAAGAAAGGATGATTTTCAAAAATATTTTTCAGGAATAAAAGAGAATTAATTAATGTAACTCATTTCAGGAATCTGTTTTTTATTTTTTTACTATTCATTTATTGATTCCATATAGAATCATGCATTTCAAAATGTCATCAAATAAATTAAATAAAGTTCATCAAAAACTTTATCATATCAAATTGATAGGATGTTTGTAAAATGATTTGGTGTAGTAACGGTGAAGGTATCATACGTAGTGCTCATCCAGCACTTGAATATTCCTACTGTGGATATCAAATGGTAATTATTTTAATTATTTAAATTTAATTTTTAAAATTTTATTTTTTGCAATAATTACTCAATTTTGTTGACAAGGCTTATTTGATAATGAGTGAAACATTGTATAAAAGTATCATGTGACATTTGTATGAGCTAAACCAATATTATCACCAGAAATTTTCAAAGTATTTCAATTTTCAATTCGAAAATTTCAAAAATTTTAGAAATGAAAATTTCAAAATATGTCAAATATTAACATTTTTAATGATATACATACAATCATTTTCAAATAGTATCATAAATTACATTTCAGTGGTGTATTGAAGGTCATTGTGTACCGGTAATACCGGAAGTTGTCAACCTACGTCATGGTGGTTGGAGTAATTGGAAGGATGAAGGACATGGTAATTGCATAACAGAATGTGTTCCATGTCAAATAAGTGGACAAATTAGAGTACGACGTTCAACAAGACATTGTGACAATCCTTAGTAAGTGCAACTTTAAATATACCTTTCATACCTGTCATTTCTTTATTGGTAAAATTTCCGGTGATAAAATATGCAAATTTCTATTTTCAATTATTTTAATTTTAATATTATAATAAACATTTCAGAGAAAATAATTACAATCATTTTTGAATAATTGAAAATTTCGTCATCTTCTCATCATCTGGAACATGATGACACGATAATGTCACAATGAATTTCTTTAAATTATAAAATATAATTAAAATTTATTCTAAAAATTGATAAACTTATGTGAAATTCTTAAATTTTAATTAATTTCTATAAAAAATTTTTTGAAAAAAAAAGTAAAAAAAAAAATAAAATGTTGTCTTTTTTTTTGCAATAAAATTTTAAATTAATTTCAGTCCACATAATGGTGGTTCATATTGTATTGGTGATGATACACGTGGAATTCGTTGTCAACAAGATGTATACTCAAGTTTTAAATCCTTTTTTTTCAAATTTTCAAAGATAAAAAGGTATTTCCATCAAAAAAAAAAAAATTAAGTTTAGAATAAAAAATTTTAAAACTTTTATTTGTTTTATCAAAA